ACCACAAGTTAGAAGAGAAACCCAGACAACCAGAGAGAGAAGGAGAGAGACGCACAGCCGGGCGGCCATATCGCACACAACCCCCAACTGTCCTAAAAGTCCCAAGGTCTTAACTGACGGGCCCCAGATGCCGCCCCTTGGAATGTCACTGGTGTCTCAAGTGACCAGACTTTACATCCCGTCTCTCTCTGAGTTGTCTGTAGGCTTGCTTTATTATTTCTTGAAGAGTATATACTAAGGCATATATATATGGTGATTATGAAGTTTTTAAAAGTGTTTTTAGATGCCTAACTTTGCTGATATGAAGGGCATCACCCGGGCCTCACCCAAAGATTCAAACCTGCATGCTATGGAGCCGCCCGAAAATGATTAAAACCTCTTAGTTGAGAGGCCTAATGCAAGTGAAAATACCTGTGTGCCAGAAACGAGTGACTGAACCCACAGATGATGCAGAACTGTATAACGAATGCAAGATATGGAGAATGAGGAGGGCATACATGGCTAGATTCAAAAAAAGTTCTAACTGGCCGAAGTGTCTGTTTTTTATATAAATAGAGTTGAGTGATGTTGAGATGAGCAGTAATTGTGATAAGTAATCAAGGACATACCAGGAACTAAAAATCTCAAAGTATGACTCTGTATGATTGTTGCACTGACTTGTAACCACTTAGTCGCATTTTGTTCTCGGGACGCGACGCTGAACTTTTTTTGAATCTAGCCATGTATGCCCTCCTCATTCTCCATATCTTGCATTCGTTATACAGTTCTGCATCATCTGTGGGTTCAGTCACTCGTTTATGGCACACAGGTATTTTCACTTGCATTTGGCCTCTCAACTAGGAGGTTTTAATCATTTTCGGGCGGCTCCATAGCATGCAGGTTTGAATCTCTGGGTGAGGCCTGGGTGATGCCCTTCATATCAGCAAAGTTAGGCATCTAAAAACACTTTTAAACCTAGAGGTGGGAGAAGTCCACTGAGACACCTCACTGTCTGGAAGAGGATTCTTTTTCAGTGGGAGCCTCCTTTTAAAAGCTGATATCTATAAATAGGTGAGAAATAATTCGCGATTAATCGTGGTAGTTGTTTGCCAAGTGAGAAGGACGCACACAGGAGGTAGGATCCAGGAGCAAACATTATTGATAAGTAGATTGGAGAGGAAAGATCAGAACCGAGAGAACCACCTTGGGAACAACTAGCGTGGTGGGCACCTCGGTGAAAACTCTCCCCTTATCATAAAATCCAGATTAATTCAAGCTCTTCTGAGTAGGCTAAAATAACCCCCAGGGGGGAAGGAGTGAGATGAGGAGTTTCCAGAATTTTTTATTTTTATAAATCTGGATATATGATCACCTAGATTTGTTTTGAGAGGGAATTTTTTCTTCCCTCTCTTCATACTCCCACACATGCTATCTTTTTAAAAATATTTTTATAAGATTCATTTATACATTTGATATTATTACACCCATGCATAAAATCTTTAATATATTTTTTTTATTAAATTAATTCAATATTTAAATTTTTACAACAATTAACTGAGACGATATCAAAAATATTTTCATAATAAATCTATATTAAGATCCTTTTTAACAAAAATGTATTTTTAATTAAAAAGGTATATATTGGATCAAAAATCATTTATTTTACCAATATTTTAATTGGCTGAACGCCAACCTTTATCAAGGTGTTAAGACATATTTAATGTGTGTCAACAACAAACTCAGCGCCACATACCGTCAACAGCATTAAGTTTTTAAAAATATTTTGTTATATTCAATGGGGAGAAAAATTTGATAAATATATTTATTATATGGACAAAATAAATTTTGTAAAATATGGGTGTGAATATTTTGAAAATTAACAATAACGCCTATTTTATATTTATAATTATTTGTACTATGTGTAAAAAGCTTTTTCTATAACGTATAATGTGTAAAGAAAATGTTTGCGTCCTTTGAATCGGATTTTCCATTTATTGGGCATCACTACAACTACAATATTAAAAAGACTGTGGCGAAGTTCACAATGGTCTTTTTTCTACTGTAACCTACAAATTTCCCTTCAATGACAGCTGCTAATCTAAGATCAATTTCATACCTTTCTTCTCACTAAGAATATGTATTCCCTTATTAAAATATGAAAATCATTATTTTGTAAGGAAACAAATAGCTTTTTTATTTTTGGCGATTACTATGATAATAGATTCATCCCTTCTTTGTTCTTTCAGATTGTCCATTAAATCGTGCAGGGTTCAAGGATTTTTTTTTAACAAATTAAATCTACAATATATATGGAATTTCTCAAAATCGAACTACACACAAAAAATAATTGTAAACATTCTATTCTTTACTAGTTTTTACATATCCATCCATTTAGTACAAGAAACTTTGAATTTATATAAATATAATTTTTAAAACTTAATTCTATTGACGTTATGCGGCGCTGAGTTTGTTGTTGACACACATTAAATATATTATAACACCTTGATGAAGGTTGGCGTTTAGCCAACTGAAATATTGATAAAATAAATTATATTTTGATCCTATATATATGCCTTTATAATTGAAAAAATATATATAATATAAAGGTATACTTATATAAGCCATCAAAAGAAAATATTTAGCTCTTTTAAATAAAATATAAGATGAAATAGTATAAAAAAGACTATTGTTATCAGATAATTACTTAGTAGCCTATCTACAGCGACAAAATGTTTCCTAAATCGATTCGATATCGCACTTTAAAAGAAGAAGTTGTTCCCTCTCTTGAGAGGATTGAAGATATACTGGAACTTGAGATTCCAGATTTAGAGGTCATCAGAGATATAAAAATTTCTGATCTTGATAAAATGACAAGTACTCGACAACCAGAGAAAATGTCGGATTTAACATTTGCTGAATTCAATTTAAAACGTTTAGTGCGTTTGGGTTTATCCCGTTCTATATCTCCACCTCCGCTGCTCAATTTTGAGAAGTTATATGAGTATGTATTACAATTTGAGATGAAATATTGTCCATGAATATAGAAGAAAAAGTTAAGAAAAAATCAACAACAACAACAACTGCTTTATTAGGACATTTCCGTCCTGTAAAGATTCGCCATACATCATTTTCATGAAGAAAGGGGGAAAACATAAACAAAGAAGAGAAGGGAAAATGAAAAGGAAATCAAAGTATTCAACATAACACACTATACAAATTAACTATGGATGGAATTGTCCTGTAATTTTAGTTCTTAGAGATTACCTTGTTCTTTAACGCTTTATGAAAATTAAACAATTCTATCGCTATATATTTTTCCTCAGACATTATTCTGATTAGCTGAACTGGGTGTTAAGAAAAAATATACACAGTAGTACCTCCCTTTAGCGGACATCCCACTAGTGGACGCCTCTCTACAAAGGACAGTTTTTATTTGCAAAATTACCATTTTTACTATTTAGCAACTCTCCAGTAAGAGGACGCCTCCCCCTAAAGAACACTTTGGCTCTGCAATTAGGTGTTGTCCTTTACAGAAATTTTCTACTGTATATGATTCCCAAATATGGGTATTTGCTTTGAAAAAATATCTATATTCAAATATATGATATACTCTTATATTATGCAAAACAGAAATGTCTTCCATTTATGAATGTTGCATGTACCACCATAATCAACCTGTCTGCATCATCTTTGTTATAAAACACCATTATAACAAAAAGAAGAAAATAAAGTGAAAAGGGAGTTAGGCCTTAATGACAATGTGACAAAGTCATACTTCCTGCAACCCTTGTGAAGTGCTGTTAACTTATTTCAAAGCATTCAAAATCCACCTTTGAGCGCAAGACCATAGAATCCTTGATTTTTTTTACAATAATTGGAGACTTTTTTTATACCAGAACTCACAGGTATGATAATTCATAACCTTTTGAGCCTACCACTATTATTTAAAGTGGTAATCAACTATGACTTGACATTTTCTCCTCAAAATTCTGACATCCCTCTCTCTTCACTTCAATGTAATGAATTTTGACCATACTTTATTTTTCTTATCTTTCTGTGTGCCTGCCACTTCACTATGTTTTTAATGAATGCACTAAATCAAAAATATTTCATGTCATGATTAAAAATCGATTCACCCCTTCATTTGCGTATTTATTATTTATGTTTTTTAAAGGAAAAGTTTCCTTTTCAGTATCTGAATATCATCTTTATTCAATCTTCTATTGTATTCTAGCCAAATATTGGCGCATTCACTTTACAACCTTAAACACCTTTTAGGCAAATTCAATCGATTTTAGAAATCCTCTCAAAATGTTATGAAAATGGAAGCTGCCCTTTTACTGAAGAGGTCATAACCAGACACCATGGTATACAGAATAGTTCTTGTCTGAAATTTCAGAAGCTGGGTTATGACATATTCTTTATCACCAACACTAAAAAATGCATTGTTTTAATACACTTTTAAAGGGAATGATGCCCATTTGTGTACATATATTATTAATGTTTAATATCTAGTTTCTATTATATATAAAATGTGTGTGAGTAGATACAAATTCAAGACATATGAATTTCAGATGAAATTTCTCAATTTTTACCTAATGGCCATTGATGGTTGTGATAGAGAGAGTGAAGACCCATCTGCTACCACTCAGCCTAGTCGCTTGAAGAAAATTGGCAGACGAATAATCTCCTTTTTTCTCTGCTGCCATCATTGAAGGTCGGTAAATTAATTTTCCATATACCCACCCCTCATCCTATAATCAGTTAATGAGCTGCTCCATATGGATGATGTCACATGCTAAAAAAAGTATGTAAATATTTAATATATTTTATCCTAATAAAATAAGAATTGTAAAACGACATTTGAAAATTATCCCGCATGTGTTTCTTTTGAACGAAAAATCGAAATTTATTTTAAGGAGAAATAATGATTATTTCTAACCTTAGTGATGAAGTATGGAAGGATGAATTGTGAAGAATAATTATAAACGGAAAAATAAAGTGTCCAGGGATGAGAATTGTCCAGGGTAACCTAGTGGACATGGCATCCAGTAAACGGAACATTGTGGGTTCGATTCCCATCCCTGGACATTTTATTTTTCCGTTTATCCTTACTCTTCACAATTCATCCTTTCATACTTCATCCCTAAGGTTAGAAATAATCGTTATTTCTCCTTAAAATGAATTTCGATTTTTCGTTTAAAAGAAACACATGCGGGATAATTTTCAAATGTCGTTTTACAATCATAAGACGCATTATATTGTACACTGCATGACATTGAAAATGGAACACCAAGAAATAGTGGCCAGAAAATTATGCAAATTTCAGGGTAGACGCGCCTAACCGAGTTATGCAAATGATGTAAAATGCGAAGCACTCGTGCGCACATGGAGTAAGATATAAGGGAAGGAACTTGCAGAAAGGACAGTATTCGTGTCGTTATTTCTTCAAGGAAAATCATTGTAGAAATTTTGTTCTTGTGTCAAAAGACACGTGTAATAACAGAGAATGCCAGGTCATCGTAAACGGAGGCAGTTCAAGCAGACAGACGCTTTTACGAGGGGCATGGTGATCGGACTGAAAAGGGCAGGTTGGTCCATACGTCAAATCGCAGCTGATACACACCTTGGTGCGTCCACGGTGCACCGACTGTGGAGAAGATGGTTGGAACAAGGAAATGTGGCAATTTATAGGAATGTCGGTGCAACCATAGTGACGTCAGCACGTGTGGATCGGCGTATCCTTCGACAAGCAGTGGCGGCCCCACAAGCCACTTGTACCGCCATCCTGTAACATGTGCAAGACACCCTAGATCATTCCATCTCGACCAGAACCATTTCACGTCGATTGGTTGCTAATGGCTTGCACTCATGCCGTCCGCTAAGAAGACTGCCATTGACCCCACCGAATAGGCGCCAACGTTTGGAATGGTGCCGGGCTAGATCGACGTGGATGACGGAATGGCACAGGGTCGTGTTCTCAGATGAGTCGCGTTTCTGCTTGTCCAGTGATAGTCGCCGTGTACGCGTGTGGCGTCGACGTGGAGAAAGGTCCAATCCGGCAGCAATTGTGGAACGCCCCAACGTGCGATAACGTGGAATCATGGTTTGGGGCGCAATCGCGTATGATTCCAGGTCACCTTTACTTCGTATTCAGGGCACTATGACGGCCCAACGATACGTTGATGATGTGCTGCGACCGGTGACACTCCCCTACCTTCAGGGGGTACCCAATGCCCTTTATCAGCAGGATAACGCCTGACCGCACACTGCTCGCATTAGCCAACAAGCTCTGCAAGTTGTACAGATGCTTCCCTGGCCGCCGTACTCTCTTGATCTCTCACCAATCGAGCACGTCTGGGACATCATTGGACGCCGTTTGCATGCCTTGCCACAGCCGCGTTCAGAAGACGAACTGTGGCAAATGGTTGAGAGGGAATGGAGAGCCATCCCTCAGGACGCCATCCGTACTCTGATTGACTCTCTATCTAGACGTGTTGCTGCGTGCATCGCCGTCCGCGGTGGTCCTACTTGCTACTAATCCGACGCCGTTCTCGCTCTGTATTATGACTATCATTTTGAAATAAAGATCACTTATTGTTCGTCCCTGTCTCTCTCTGTCTGCCGAGTTTCATCACTTTTTGGCCACTATTTCTTGGTGTTCCATTTTCAATGTCACGCAGTGTATTATAAAATAAGTATTTTGTTCCAAAATTTAAAATATCAAATTCTCGTCTTTTATTTATTATCTTTGCTGTTCCATCAGTATTTTAATTGAATAATACAACAGAATGTGTGGTGAAAGTGATTAAAAGTGATAATAAAAAAAATTAGGCATTAAGAATTTTAAAAAATATTTTGTTATATTCAATGGGGAGAAAAAAATTGATATATATATTTATATTATGGACAAAATAAATTTTGTAAAATATGGGTGTGAATATTTTCAAAATTAACAATAACGCCTATTTTATATTTATAATTATTTGTACTATGTGAAAAAGATTTGTGTAATGTGTAAACAATTGTTTATCTCCCCATTGAATATAACAAAATATTTTTAAAAATTAATTCTGTTGACGTTATGTGGCGCTGAGTTTGTTGTTGACACACATTAAATATGTTATAACACCTTGATAAAGGTTGGCGTTCAGACAACTGAAATATTGGCACAATAAATGATATTTTGATCCAATATATGCCTTTTTAATTAAAGTAACATAAGTAGAAATCTATTTTGTTCAAAAAAGAACATAGACGTCAAAAACACCTTAAATTCCTCAAAACAGATGGCGCGCTAATGCATAATACTAAGAGATGTTGATAAGTCATCATATATATATATATATCCTTTTAATGGTTGTTACCATTCTTCATAGAGTATCGTGTATGTATATAGCTAGAGTGAATGTGGTAGTAGTAGATGTTATATTGACATAGATATTGTGAGTCCTTTTATATGTTTTAAATAATACTGGATTTGCATATTTACTATGCTATGTTTACTATGCTAATTCTTAAAACTCTGTTTTCAGGAGGCTAAATGCTGGACAAGTTATGCTAGGTTCTGTACCTTTCCAAAATGAAGATCAACCAATAATAGCAATTTATATGTATTTTTTAGTGTCATATATCTGGCTTGGAAGGAAAAAATAACCTATTTACACACTGTACCTTCTGGAAACACTAGAACAGCTACAAGATCAAGTTCCATTCCAAGTAATATCAAGTATCTAAGTAATATATCATCGTTAAATTACTTCTCTTTCTGAATCCATCACTATACTGAACTCTACTTACCAAAGGTCAAGAAGAAGAATGTAATGAAAAAGATAATCATTTTTAATCTAACAAGTCATTCTTGAAGATACTCTGAGTTAAATATAAAGATCAAATATTTTCCTGTTCTACCCCATCATGAGAAATATTATTTTAATGAATCAGTGAGTGACCTTCTGGTCACTATCTCATCAAATCTATCTTCAAGTTGGTGAGGATCGAGCAGTTCGAGGTGGAAAGTGACCGTCATAAATGATCAAGATGTGCTGCTGAGATCGTGTCATTCGTCGAGAAAGACATCGCGAAAGAAGAGCGATAATCATGGATCCACAGTGCCATCAATCGAAATCACATATGGATAGCAGACACTATTCCAAGCCTAGCTAACCAGAATTCCCATTTGAAGAAATCCAAATATTACCACGAGTATTGGCCTTAGACTCGGATAACCAATTTAGGAGTCATCAGCAAAGATCCTTCCAATGACAAGTTCATTTTATTCTGTATTTCCTCTATTTTATATAGATTTCTTGAAATAAAGTGTTAATTTTGTATCTTTAATCTCAAATCTAACCTGGTGATATTTATTTTAATCATCCACTCATGAAAATCAATCTAAAAGATGAAAGATTACCATTTCATTAATTACGATTTGGTTTTAAATACAAATGTCATTATGTGATTGGTGATTGTCGATTTTTTGCGGCACTCAAAATACCATATTAAATAAAATATTTTATCTTATACATTTTTATTTATAATTATCTTGCAATATAATATACACAAATGCTCCTGAAATCCAAGTTACATTAAGAGAGAGAGAGATTAAAAATACTTTATTACAATGTCCATATATGATTATATAAGGTTAAAATATATAGATCAGTGATTCTCAACCAGTGTTCCGCGGTAATTTTGTGTGCCGCGAAATTCTAAAAATGTGCCGCCGAATTTTAGTCATATGATTATGTTCACGTTTGTATTGTGGTTTTTCTTTTTTTCTTTTTTTTACTTTTTAAAATAACGAAATTAGCAAATTGAATGTTAGAGATGTATATTACTTATATTTTGCATAGAAATATTGATACATAATTTGAATTTTCTTGCATTCAAGTTAGCAAAAGTGTGCCGCGAAATTCTAAAATTGTGCCGCCAAATTTTAAAATCTTTAAAATAATGCCGCAACAAAAAAAAAGGTTGAGAATCACTGATATAGATAAATAACGACGCATATTCCCATCCATGGACACTTTTATTCTTCCGTTCATCATTACTCTTCACAATTCATCCTTTCGAACTTCATCCCTAAGGATAGAAATAATCATTATTTTTCCTTAAAATAAATTACGATTTTTCGTTCAAAAGAAACATTTCCGGTAAAACTTGTCAAACGTCGTTTTACAATCATAAGCCGCATTATATTGTATTATAGATAAATGAATATAAATAAATAAGAGAGATATAAATGGATAATTGATCTAACGGATATGGCATTCGGCTACAAAAAATGAAGGTTTCAGGTTTGAGTCCTGCAGGGTATATGAATTTGAATACAAGGGAGAATGTTCAGAGGGCACCATGGACTCCCCACATACAAACTGGCGAAGGTGTATATCATAGTAATGTACCATCCTTTTTATAATAGAATTCCATGTAGATTGAACACATGTAAGAAATAAAACTAGTTTGATTGAATATTTTATTTAAATAGTTATACATAATAACATATATACAATTCTCTCTCTCAACATTACATGGATCAGTTCACACATCTCTGGGCAAATGGCTGTTCATTGCAGCACTTGGGAACCAGGGCTGTAGAACTAGGTCTTTAATTTTTTCACGTGCCATAGGGATCCCTTGATGAGGAGCATGGATACCACTGGTTATTCTTACCTTGCATGGAACGGATAAGTAACTCTGCTACTGGAAATTGTCTCATCAGGAACTCCCGTACTGAGTTCTCCTCGCAGAAAAATGGTCTGCAAGTTCATTTGGGAGTAGGATTCGAACAGTTTCCCAACCTCGACAGGCGCAATATCCATTGCTGAATTTATACTTAGAAAGTAGGATAGGTTGCAAATGGCACTCATTCTGATTATTTTTACAAATGCCATCAGGTCGATGTTCTTCAGATAAATCTGTGAATTAAGGATCATTTTGTAGGCAAGAAAAACTCTGTCTTTATGTAGCATTACAGGATGCACAGAGGAGCTTGATCTTATGACACCAGGCGAGGTTCTCAAGCAAAACTTTCTTAAGTTATTTATGTGACACATCGAGAAAGAAGGACTCCATCTCACAGACTCAC